TATTTGGGCTGAGAAAAATTTATTTTGATAGTTGATTTTTCTCGCTTCACGGACGTTGTAAAAGAGAGGGCGGAGGGGGGGTCGTACTCGCTCATTGCTGGGATGGGGGGACGTATTTACTTCCTGGCCTTCCTAGGAGTGATTAGGTTGACTTTTCGTGATTTTTCGTGATTTGTGCAAGTTTAGAATGCACCCCTGAATGCAGTTTGCTGTCCCACCAAGCCGAACTGCACCGATAACCTGCACTTCATCATTGCTAATGACGTCCCTAGAAACGTCATTAACACCTCATGTGACGTGAGTGAGACGTCATCCTACTCTTAATAGGTAACGTGGTGAGCCGCGGACCTGTGCTACATCAGTGACAGAACAAGTAACTTACCGAATTCTCCTGCAACATCTGCTTGCGCCCCTTGAGAATTCTTTCCAGACCACGATGTAAATGGAATCCTTCGGGATAAGAACCAAATTTCTCAATGATCTGTCTTAGTGAGTCTTCATCAACACCAGTGGGGACCAGCTGCAACAAGTTGTACTTGAACTGAGGACCATTTTGTCTCGACACTAAGCGGGATGAAAATATTACCTTGAGAGGGTCGCGATGCTTGAAGAAGTCATCCCAAGGAGAATCCAGCCAATCACGGTTTCTCAAATAAGAGACTTTCTGGGCATTCTCGTAAGCGTCTTCCAGAATTTGACCGTACTTTGTGACTTCATCCTGGAATGCTAGGAGTACGAATAGTAAAGGGTGCAGGGGTAAGGCTCAAAAAGTACCTTCACGTACTGCTCATCTACGACACCTTCCTTGGTGATATTTTCTTGATATTTTTGAAGAGCTGTTGGTTGTTGTTTGATTCGCTGGTACATAAGTGGTTGTGTAAACATCGGTTCGTCGAGCTCATTGTGACCATGCCTGCAAAGCGTTCGTTATTCTATCGCGCGAGCGTTCGAATCGCTCCAGTCGCGAAGTATAAATACAAATCAAATCCCGCAAGATCACAAGGGACCGTTCCAACCTTCGCCTCCGATACAAAATGATCTATTTATACCTTCTGTAGCACACCAAAGTCGATAATCACATCCTTCTTGAAAGTCGCTCTCCATTCAGCAGCCACATTGCAAACATGCATCACAGCTTCAGGATCGTCCACATTCACGTGGAAAATCGGACAGCCAACAACTCGTCCAACATCCGTACAATATGGAGACGAGCTAAACAAGGGAAAATTGATGAAGGATCTGAATAACGAGTTCTTTCAGTGCAAATAGAGGTTATATTGTAGCGACAGGAGTTGTATTCTGTGAATTCGGTCTGAAGTCAGTAACACAAACTTTGCAAATTTTTCAGTTATTTGCATACAGTATCATATTCTCCTCGTTTCTTACTCTAGAGCACAGATAGAAAGTGGTCAACCTTCTGCTCTCTCGTGCTCTAAAGAACCCCTTTGAACAGAGTTTATAGGAGATCACAGCGAAGAGAGAGAATGGTCGGAGGAGATAACAGGACAATTTTTCTGTGGTCGATATGGTCACCGCGATTGATCCCAGCTGATTTCCTAATAATGCCCCTGCCTACGCTCTTGGAAGGGTCCCCTGTTATTATGAGCGGGGTTAGCGGAGCGGCAGCATGGACGTGTGGGGCCGGTTAACGGAGCATGGGCGGTCCTCGTGTCCACGTTATTCGGTTTAGTGCCGCAAAGTGGGGTGCAGCCGCTGTCTCTGCAAAGCAGGCGATTTGCTGGACGCCAGGAATCGTGTGCGCTGTTCTTAACTTACTGGAATTATCACTTCCTCACCGTTTAATAAAAGTCTTATCCACCTATAATCCCGTTGCCTTTCAACCACGATGATTGAGTTGGAGAAAGCACCTGCCCGTAATCGCCAGAAAAAGTTGCGGAAGCGATCTCTAGTTTCCCTCCCCTGATACGAGTAATGAGATTTTCGATCTATTCCGCAGCTCGAGCAATGACGGACGATTTGCGAGAACTCCTTACGGTGGATCTGGTAAGGGTTACTGGGTCTGTAACCTTGCTGCTCAACACTTTTTCCTGCTACATTATTGTGCGACATTCTCCTGATGGAATGGCTCGATACAAATGGATATTACTGATTATAACCGTAAGTTTGTAGAGTGGTGCATATGGCGGTAGTCGTTGCGACGACGCGGCGGTGCCGGCACGCTCCACTTGCACCAAGACTTAATTGGTGAAGAATATAATTAATAAGCCATTGAGCTGAGAGGGTAAGAATGGCCCCGGTAGCGTAACGGATATCGCAACAACCCGGTAAGCGGCAGGGTTCGAGTCCCGTCCTAGAGTCTTACTTTTGCCCATAACCCAGCACTGTTGTGAATAATAGAAGTGTTACAAAATACTGGCCAACTACCTAGACTGTGCGTATGTTGCCGCAACGCGGATGCAACGCACTTGTAGATTGCAAACCAGGCTGACTGAAGACGTTCTTACTGCGATTGCAGACGACTTGTTTAGTTATATAAGGATAGCTTTAGGAGCGCCAAGCTCCTCAGAAAAGCTCAGATGGTTATATGAGAGCTTCGCAGGACTGTTATGACCTCTCACGCTCAAGGACTGCAACGGCAAGCGGCTTTCCCATCCATCCGTGGGCTCCCTCTTCAGAGACCAAGCACATTGCCGCAATCACCGAGTGCTCCTTGCAGCTATAGAAGCTCTGGTATACATTCACTTTTGGCGCAGTTTATCGACGGGGGAGTTTGCTTTCCATAGATGTGTCGACCCATCTAGGTAGCGTTTTCTTGAGTTGACACGTTTTGGGATGGTGGCTAGACGATCCTGCTCCAGCTTTACAAGCGTTCACAAGTTTTACCAAAGTGAGATTTGCAAACCGGAGCAAGGGAAGCAGTGATAGTACAAAATGCCCCCCCCCCCGTCGATGAACAGCGCCTTCACTTTTCCTTGTCTGCATTGGCCATGCGACGCCGTGCCCAGAAGTCCTAGCGGTAACGTAACATGCAATCCCACTAGTCGAGTCTTCAAATTTTTATTCTCAATTGATTGCATTTTTATTTTTACTTCACTTCTAATGCAGAGTGATTTCAGCTTGTTGCTGCCTTGATGGACGTCGCCATTACCTTACTGGTTGCTCCGATCCCGCTCGAGGGTGTAGTAGGATGCGAATTGATAGGATTACTACCACGTTTGTTACCCAGTTTCGGAAATGTTTTCGCGGTAATTTTTCCATCAGAACACTTATTC